CCCCCCCCCCCCCCAAAATAACCTTTCAATTCTCTCTTTCCTGCATTAGCAAAGATCCATATCTCCTGAATTGTGCTTCTCTAATCTCCTACTTGAGGATCTGGGCTGAACGACAATGAATATGTTGTAGAAATCTATTCACTTTTTAGAACATTCGCACTGGAAACAGCCCGTGAGAAGTCTGGCCTGGCTAGAACCTCCCACGGGCAGAGATTCTCACGGGTTAGGCCCGTTTGATCCTTTCAAATAAGCCCAGATCCAACAGTAGGGTTGGGATTGGGAACCAAGGTAGGTTCTTTGCAAGCCTGACACTTTTGGACATGACTGACACAGGCCATCGTCCAGGGAGAGATGGTAAGAGAGGAGAAAGAACCCCAGCAAGATTTTCCAAGGGAAGAGTAGAAGCTTATTAATAAGAACGTGTCTCTTCATAAACCCAAATTTTCTTTTTTATTTTTTGTTTTGGAGCCTCACCATATGTCTGTTGGTCACAGCAGCCGCAAGACTTTAGGGGACGATGGATGTCTTCGAAATCAGAAGAAAAAACTCTTTTTTATTTTTTCTGTGATAAACTCTATTTGATTTGTCTCCATACCCTTTTGTTTGTATATCTGAATGGTTTTTTTTTATTCTTCTCGTTTTTTTTTTTGTTTGTGGTTCAACTTTTTGAATGGGCTTTGGAAAGAGACCGTTATAATTGTTGTCTTTGCAGAGATATTTGTGCTAAAACATAGTAGGAATTAGGAAAGATAAAAAAAACAAATAGTAAAGCTTCCGATCAGCTACATAACAAGGGATAATTTTTTTATAAAAAAATAATAAAAATATATTTTAATTTTACTATAAAAATTTATGCATTATTAATTTGAAGTAAAAATATTCAGATTAATAAAACAAATCATTTTAAATTTGGCATAAAAATCTATAAATTATATAAAATATACAATTCTAATTATCACAATAAAAGTTTAAATATTTATATAAATTTCTAATATAACACATTTATATAAATTTATTATATTATGATATTTACAATTTTGTATAAATATTGAAGTTGTTAGTATAATATTTAGAATCTTATATGCATTGTCATTTATAGAAATTATACTTAAAATTTAATTTAATTTTATTGATTAAATTCATAATTGGATATAAGATTTGATAATATTTTCATATATTAATATTTAAGATATGAAATATTATATAGTATATCATTTATATACAAATTAATTATATAAATGATAATGCATATTTTAAAAGTAAAATAAGATATATGATTTTTTTTGTCTTAGAAACAGTTCATCATCTATCTAATTATTTTTTTAAAATCCTTTAGATTTATTATTAAAATTTATTAACTTTTAATTTATAACAAATTTAATAATTGTGATAGATTTTATAACAAATTTAATAATGGTGATAGATTTTATAACAAATTTAATACTAAATTAGATAGTTTTTTTAGTTTGTCAAACAAAATAGCGAGCGTTACAGATACGCATTTGGAATTTGAAATTATAAACAGGCCAGATGCAATCCCTAGATTCAAATTTAAATTCTTCGACGTCAACTCCAACACAAGAACAAGAAAAGAAAACAGATCGCAGAAGTTAACGGCTAAAAATGCAGACCCATCTCATCTCCTCCTCCTCCTCCTCCGCTTCTGCAATTCTAATTCTACTCTTCATATCATCCTCTCCTGGAATTTGCTTACCCTCTTGCAGTTTTCCGGCGATCTTCAACTTCGGCGACTCCAACTCCGACACCGGTGGCCTCTCCGCCGCGTTCGGACAAGCTCCTCCCCCCAACGGCCGCACCTTCTTCCATTCCCCTGCCGGAAGATTTTCCGATGGCCGCCTCGTCGTTGATTTCATAAGTTCATACCTTTTTCCCTGCTCCAATCAAATTTCGCATCTTCGTAGAATCTTCCGAAGACCCATTTCCTTACTGAAATCAAATTTCACATCTTTATGCTTTTTTCTCGAAGACCCATTTACCTTATCCTTCCCAATTCTGTTGATTTTCAGGCGAGGAATTAGGACTACCGTACCTGAGCGCGTTCTTGGACTCCATCGGATCAAACTTCAGCCACGGCGCAAACTTCGCCACCGCCGGTTCGACAATTCGGCCGCCCAACTCCACCATTTCTCAGAGCGGTGCTAGTCCCATCTCTCTCGACGTTCAGTTGGTTCAGTTCTCTGATTTTCTCGCTCGCTCTCAACGCATTCGCAATCTGGGTATGCTCATTTTGAGATTTTCTTTAGTCATTTCAAATCCAACAGTTCATTCCGGAAATGAAAGTTTTCATCTTTGCTTTCACTCAATTTTTCTTTGTAATGTGAAATGGTCTGTTCCTTCTTCAGAAAACAAATGTGTTTAATCGGATTCTTTTGTTACCCCATTTGGTATTGTTTTCGGAACAGGTGGGGTGTTCGAGAGATTACTTCCGAAAGAAGACTACTTCGCCCGCGGGTTATATACGTTTGATATCGGTCAGAACGATCTTACGGCTGGATATAAGCTCAATATGACAAAGGAGCAAGTAAAGGCTTATGTTCCTGCAGTCCTATCTCAGTTTTCCGACGCCATTCGTGTGAGCGAAAACATCTATTACTCGATTTGATTCAGAAAATATTCACTGGAACATTAACTAAGGATACCCTTTTCGTGAATCTTATAGAAAGTGCATGCGAAAGGAGGACGAACATTCTGGATACACAACACAGGTCCTGTAGGCTGCTTACCTTACTCTCTTGTTCGATTTCCGGTACCACCGGCTCAAATAGATAATTACGGTTGTGCCATTCCTTACAACGAGGTTGCTCGGTACTTCAACTCCAAACTCAATGAAACAGTTGTTGGGTTAAGGAAAGAGTTGTCTGAAGCTGCCATTACTTATGTTGATGTCTACTCTGTTAAGTACACTCTCATTACTCAAGCCAAGACACTCGGTAACTCTCCTTTCCTTTCGACCCTTTTCTCGGCTTAAGATACAGAACCGATCAATAACCCGACAGCTTTTCGAGAATACAGCTTGTGAGGTTTGGTTCGAAGTTGTTTTTGTTGTATAACTATCGGAATTTACTGTTTGATATTCTAATGTAATGTTGTTTTCTTGATAAAATCAGGGTTCAGAAAAGCTTTGGTGGCATGTTGTGGGCATGGCGGCAAGTACAACTACAACAAGCTCATCAAGTGCGGGGCTAAGATTAAGGTGAAAGGGAAA